GCCGATGCGGCTGCGTCGATGCAGAAAATACAAATAACTATTATACACGCTTGCATATTTATATGGATCGACTTTCGTAACATGTTTTCAATAGGATGCGTTTTTGAGATGTGATACGCGCAATTAAAACGTTCCGCGTTAAGCATGCTGCCGCTGCTGCGCAGTGGTATTTTGCATATATCGCGTTGTATTTTGCGAGCATCGCCAAATAATTAATTTCCGTAAAATATATGAACTTGCATTTTCGGATAAATCATTGGCCGCGCACTTTACGACTTTATGAATAAAACGTTTGGCTGGATCGAGCGAGGAGCATTAAAATTCTAGTCAAAGCTCGCAAAAACGCAATTAAATGTATATTTATAACAAACGCGAGTGTGGGATATTTATGCGTTAATGTTTGCGCGCAGCGATCGCGACCATATACCGCGCGAGCTTTGCCGTGGCGCGGGCTAGCGGGCGTTCGAGTGAAACGGCATCGGCATCAGTTAGCGAGAAGTTATGCGTCGACTTTGGCTTTAAAATCTCTCGATGTGCGAATACGTACATTCACGGATACATAATGTGTTATGAGACTCGATGAGTGTGCCGGAGCTAGCGCATTTACGCATCGATGACTCTTTGCACTCGGCGAATGTGTATACATATATTTGTACATGCGCGACGACTACGACGACGACGACGACGATGACGACGTCGGCGGCTGCGACGCCGCAGCTAGACTTTGACAAGTGTAGCGCGATTAAACTGTGCACGGTATACCAATGCGAGTACGAGTATACACAGCAGCATACAAACTAAAACCCCCAACCCCCAGTACCCCAGGATCCGCACGCTCACATTTCAATGTTCAACGAGATTTTCTCGGCTCTAGCCTACTTCTCTCTCTCTCTCTCTCTCTCTCTCTGTATATACAGCAGCTTATGGTATATGCAGCGCATTCGGTACCTGCCACTCGTGGCGCTACACGACACTATTTCATTATACTTTTAGGATCCGGCTCCTTTGGGCTAAGTTCGCAGCGCGTTGTTCAGTAATAATTGATCTCGCCCTCCTCGGTAATTGTCCACCGACTCTTTAATTGGGGTGGGTAGACCTTATTATTTTCATTTTTTATACAGCACCGAAACAGCGAGGGCTTTGTTCCAGCGAGTGGCTTTTAAACGTTTTTACAACGTTGAAGCTCTTCTTTGGTCTTGGCTAATGTTGCGTTGCGGACGTTAAGCTCCCATCGTTTGTCTTAATTGATACAAATTACGTTACGTATATTACGGAGAGAATAGAGCTCGGAACAGGAGACTTTACGATATTGCGAAAGCTCGACCTTCTCTCGCTCTCTCTCTATCTCTCTCGTATACAAAGCTTAGATTTTTTAGCCGCTACAATATGCTATGTTTATTTATAGAAAATGGAGAATTTCCAAAGAACTCGAAATGTAAATAAGCAACTATCACTCGCAGATTATGTAAAAGCGAGTGGAAGAGCCGTACACGCAAGACCATGTACATATAAATGTACGACGAAAGAAGAAAGAGAAGCTAAGCCAAAAAAAGTGGCACTATCCGCCGAAAGCGAAAGCGAAAGCTCTCGCAAGCTCTCTCAGCCGCGCGACTATACTCTGCTACTACTACTACGATGTTGTACATGCCAGTCGAGGAACTCATTTACAGCTCTCGGAGCATCAGCGGCAGCGAAGGTAGCGTAGCGCGAGAGAGCTTGCGCGAGCTGAGCGATGAGTCGAATGAACTGGTTTTCGCGTGGCGGAAAACGAGGCTCAGCGCAGCGCCAGACGAGAGCAGCTCAACTCGATGTAGGTTAAAGGAAACAAGTTGAACCGTTCCCAAACATACACCTGTTGTATTCTCGTTCTCTCTCCCTCTCTCTCTCTTTGTTAATGTAATCAAATCGCTCTTTCTCCCTCTCGCTATTCATGCGCCTATATGTGTGTGCGACTACCTTCTACGATGCACCTCGTGCACACCAACGTGTACACGCACATATTTGCCCTCTCTCGCGTGTGTACACAAATCATACGTATTGGAACGTCTAATGCGCGTTATGGTGTATAGCGACAGATTCACTTCTAATTTGACGCATCAACGCGGTTTTACGGGAAACGCGCGAGCTGGCACAATGTGTACGCGCGTGCACACGTGCACGCGCATATATTGCATACATATACCTAAGGCAACGATGAAACATTACTGCAAACCACCGTGCGTGGCCCTTTCTCTTCCATTAATCAGTCCGAGGGATGATGATGATGATAATGATGATGGTGATGATGATAATGATGATGATGACGACGACGACGACGATGAGAGGTAAAAGCTGTACGCGCGTCAACGTAATTTATGCACTACGTCGCAAATACATGTATCGTCGCACTGCACACGAGCACTTACGCTTGGATCAATAGTAAACTCTTTTCCGATAATTTACGTGGGAGTTTCTTTTCAAAGGGAGTAAACACTTTTTTCCTTGGATATTGAACAAATCGTGTCTTTTACATTTAAAAAAACATTCAGGGTCACAGTGAGATTGATTACACTTTTATGTACAAATAACAAGAGGTCTATATGAGTGAAGAGTTTGATTTACGTGATATACCGATTGTGAATAAAGGGCAAGGAGTACGTATACTTGATCAGTGAGTGTGAAAATTTTTATTAGAATGATTAGTTAGAAATGTCAACGTTATACAAGCAGAGAAGAAAAAAAAATCAAATTTCATGTGGCAACATCGGTTGTATAGTGGAGTCGGTGTGAGGCGTGGAAGTTTGAATATCTACTATATATACCGAATTCTTTCATGAGTCGATTGACGCACTTCCCGTTCAATCATCAAGCTGATATTTACAATGAGAAGATATTTATCTTTCATCAATTTAATTCTACGTACTAGAATGTAATGGTACTTGCTACTAGTCAAGAAGCTCATGATTGTATGATTTGGAAATCTGTTCGATCGGAATGACGAATCAGCTAGGGTTATAAGAGCATAAGCAAATTTACGCACAGTCAAGTGCGTCAATCGAACAACATGGATTCGAAAATTTGACGCGGCACTTTGTCATTTTCAAATAACGTCAAGATCTGCATATGTTGTCCGTGTCTGACAGTTCATCTCTCTCTATCTCTCTGCGGTCACTTTTGCGAGGTAGTATATTAGCTCGTTCCTTTTCCGTGGCGCTACATTAGAAAGCTCGACGGACATAATGGTCTACTTTATGCGTCTGTTGGTTATGCACTACATAACAACGCGCGATATAACATGCCGTGATTTTGAATAATCATGTGTTAAATTTCATACGCACGAACGAGAATCCGCGCATAGTGTGAAAAATTTCACGCGGATGAAAGTTGAAGAGAGCAAAAGAAATCCATTAGCTTGACGCAAGCTTTATTTTTGTATTTCTCCGGGTTGAAAATTCCGCTAAATGCGTAAAGAAGCTCGTCATCGCTCGCGCGCGCGCGATATATTCACAATAAATTTTGCGCGTACATTATGAAAATAAACTATGGCCGCGGCGCGCACGACGAAATCGCGTAAACATTACGCGATATAGCGTATCGATCGAAAGCTCCATTCGGGAAGCTCGCGCTTTATTTTGAAAATATAACGTCATTTTTTGAAGATCCACCACGCGCCAACGATTCCATATAACTATGAGAAAGAGACTTTTGCTGAAAAGCCCACGCCAGCGCAAGCGAAGCTATTTTTGGCAGTCACTTACTAAATAACGCGACCCTCTTCGGAGTATATGATCGCGAGCGCGGATTTCGCGCTCACGGTAAACGAAAGCTCACCGAGTGCACGCGCCTAAGTGTGCGTATAACACGCGCGTCTTGGTATCCAAGGTAAACGCGGCGCAACTCTATACAGCGCAACGAAGCTCAGCCTGACGTTTGACAGGTGTCCTGTTTGACTATTCGTTCGCGGAGGGTGAGAGAGAGGGGCAGAGGAGAGAGAGAGAGAGAGAGAGAGAGAGAACTGTCAGCGAGGCGGTAGCAGCAGTAGCAGCTGAGTAGTGTGCAGTTGGTACCCAACGTTATCTGAATTCCTTTTCCCGAGGCCCGCCGGGAATCTCATGCCTGCTGCGCTACTCTAGCCGACCGAGTCTTGAGCCAATTTCAAAACGTCATTCGGACGAATTTCACGATTGTCGCACAGCACGCGCGACGTACGCCGATCAAGATGCAAATGTGTATACGTGTATACGGGAAGCCAACGAGAGAGAAAAAATTCAAACAGCCGAGGATATGTATCTGTATATCTAAGCTTCTTGACGTAGCACCGCACGAATTATTGATTTACTTTTCAATATCGAGATCGATCGATGCCTCGTGGCAATTCGGCCGAACACGGGCTGATCCTCTATACCGCCAACGCGACGTATATTAAAAAATGAGCCGCGCGTTTTTCTTCGCTCGTGCACTTATGCAGCAGTTGCAAAAGATGAGCTATGCCAAGTACTTTGGCGCGCGGCTCGAGGTGCTTCGGACGCGACGGATCATTCAACGAGCGTCGTATATTATCATTACCGATTCATGAGCTGCTATTGTAATTCGTCGTCGATGCGACTTATAAATAAATAAGTAAATAAAACGTCATTGGCTTGACATTGCACGGCGATGGGCCTCGAGAAAAATCCAACGTATTGACGCGAATGTTTGTGCGTGTAAGAATTAACGAATCGATTGAAAAAAGGAAACAGAAAATTTTCTTTTAAAATGTGTGCTTTGAATAGAAAAAGGAAACCAATAACGATCGAATTATTTTACAATTAAGTGATTATAATGTAATAAATAAAAAAAAAATTGATATTAATCATAAACAATTAAAGATGCGTTGGGTGAGTGTGTGTGTGTGTGTGTGTGTGTGTGAAAATTGTGCGTGGGCTAGGTGGCACGTAAAGGTGTGAATGTATGAATGCAGAAGGCGCACTAATATTTTATAGACGAATTAAACGGCAGACAAATCGGTGGAAAATACGAACCGTGACGCTGTAAGACGAAACGTACGGCCGGGACGACGATGACGAGTATGGCCGTCTGGTCGTGTAGAAGTCGCTCTCGTAAACCATGATTACTTTTTGATTATTCTCTTCTGATCACTTAAAAACAAAGGTATAATTCGATAATCGAGCACTCGTTTACACTTGATTGCGATTCGTCAAATGAATTGAGCCCGTGTGCGAGAGTTGATGCGATCGCGGTAAAAGTTCGTTTGATTCTGCCCGTTGTATCTCGGGGTAGTGGTCACCAAGAAGCTCTCTCTCTCTCTCTCTCTCGGTTCGCAGCAGCAGCAGCGGATTCCCTCTCTTACCTCCTCGTCGTCGTTTTGTGTGTGGCGCGTGTGTAAGCCCGATGCAATATATACCTATACATCTATAAAACTTGCTTGCGCCGAGCCGAGAGCTTTCGCTACATAGCTACTTGTATAAGCTCGGCCGATTGGCGTCATTTTTAGACACCTCTCTCTCTCTCTCTCTCTCGCACGGGCTCATTCTTTCTCTTTTGCGCGCATCGGCTACCCTACACCTATTTTTTAAAACGCGCGCACGCTTCGTCGTCGTCGTCGTCTACGTCTTCGTTGGTGTATATAGTCGTCGTCTCTCGGTCTTGCTCCAATTCGAGACCTGTCTTCGTCTTGCTCGCAGAAGAAGCAGCGGTACCTCGGCGAAATCACCATCCGCGGGGAGTGGGGGGGAGAGTAAAGTGTATTTGCGTCGAAAAGACTCGCGAAACGTATGAGAAATTACATTCGCAAAACGTGAAAAATAGAAATTATGCTAAGGTTACGATGTAAGTTTGACTCTTTTTTTTTCTTTCTCATCGAGCACCGACACACACCACTGACCACTAAAATAGCCTGGAATAGCTGGTAAAGTGTTACGAATGGTATTGCGAATACAAGCAAAGATGACCTCGAATATTATACATGTGTGTCTCGAATATATTCGCATACACAAGGGATTATCAGCTTTCCACGATAATCATAATGATGACGCGTACGCCCACATACACATCCGCACAAGTTCGCGTTCATAGTCATTACGAGTGTTTAAATATTTGAAAATGGATTATGCAAGTATCACTGGATCGTAGATTATGTATTTAGCTAAAATTGCGGCAGGTGACCGTAAAACGGCGAAACCTCTACGTAGTAATTTAGGCCGATTATCGTCAACAATCACGATGGCCGTCATGCGTACTTACGCGCGCTTCAATTTTACGCAACATACGCGCGCGTCCCGGTAATTGCCGATAATGGCCGATGAGCTTTGGTATTTCATGGCGCGCTGATATATATCGCTCTGCTTTATGTACCCTCAAATTATTTCTGCATGAAAATCAACTGCTTTACGGTAATTTGACACGTTTTCTAAAATAATGGCTTAAACTAATAATTATCCAGGCATTAGCATAAGCAATAATTTTTAATCATAATCGATTTCATCGCTCGGAGATATTGGAATAAAAATTTGGCAAGAAACGAAAATACTCCAACTTATCCACTGGTACTAAAATAGATTGTAGCATTGAACTTGCCGATGAAAATACCGTTCAAAAATATATTCCTTCGTTCATTATATTTACCAAGAAATTTTAAATTGAAAATATTTACCGCCGAAAGCTCACTGATTAACTATTATGATTTAGTCGTGGGCTGCAATTACAAAATTCTGTTTGTTTTGAATGAATGCAGAGGCTAAATATCACTCGCGCTACAACACTCGAGCACGAGGTCGCGCGGAAGCAAATGGTAATTTGTCTCGCCGGAGGAGGTGGGGGGTGGGCTCCTCGATTCAACGTTACCAGCCCGCGTGTACAAAAAAGCTGCTAGAAAATTATTATTCAAATTGCCCTTTGAAAAATTAAATTAAATCCTTGGGATATGAACGGTGGCGCATTTTATTTTCGGTCGGCATCTGATCCGAAAATAAAATTTTACCGCTGCAGTCGTCGTCGTCGAGTCGCGACGAGCGCGCGTTATATACATTTTCAAGCGGAATCGCACGCTCGATTCCATCCACGCGCGCGAGAAACGCGAGCGTATACAATTTTTAAAGCTCACGGCGAAGAGGAAGGATACACGGTATATTCAACGGGCGGCTGATAACGCGCCGCTCGCGGCCCCCGCTTATAGAACTTGCGGTCTTGATCGTGGCTTGGGGCGCGGGCGCGCGAGAAGAGAGTGTAAATATAAAAGAGGCGAGCCTCAAACGGGCCAAGGTTTCTCGACATTTTGTAAACGCTCGCAAGCTCTCTTTCGCCGCGAATTCGCACATCGAAGCGCACGTCGTGTTACCGCTGCCCTACCGAAATTTCGTAATCTGTTAAGATTGAAATATGTAGAGTGGCGGCGTGACTCTCGAACTGTATATATTGTTCTGCTCTGCACTTCGTACGTGTATGTTTACTCGGAAAGATTAATTTTTTGATTTAACGTCGGAGTATATATCAATGTCCAGTCTTTATTCAAGTGTGAAATAGTTATAATTGTGCAAGCCAATTCGCTCGGGTGATTTACGCGGGCGAACGTTTGAACGATTATTTATAATACCGGCCGCTTAGTCAAATTTTATTTGTCATATGGTGCAGACTATTTTTCGACGTTACCGACTTAACTGACTTTACCGAAAAACACTTTTTGAATATTTTACGGTTTTTGGCAAATTTTTGAATGAAAATCTCACTCTTAAATTTAGTTACGAGTTATATTGTTTGTTTACGAGCTAACTAATAATGTACACTTGTCTCGTCTCGAAAAACGTTAAAATTTGGCTTTCCGACAAATTGACATTGTATACGTTTTACTTACTTGATATTTTTTGAAAAGAATGAAAAATATTAAACATTTCGGTTTCGAGCAGTATTCGAATTTGAAAACAAATTCAATATCAATCCTCGCCTTACCGATTATTTCTGTTGGTGCAACACGCGAAACTTTCGTCTAAATTTCCATTTCGGGATTTCCTTTCAAACTGATATTCCGGCTCGGATCGGAAAAAGACTTCTAGAAATCATTTCAAAGTTTTCACGGGGTGAAAGTTGATATTCACGATTATACACTCGAGAGGCGCGCGTGGGGATACCTACATCTATCTATATAATAAAGTTTTACACACATATTGCCGGCCACGCAGTGAAGTGGATTCGTTGATTCGTGCGCAGAAGCTGCTACTACAGCAGTGGACTACTGCGCGTAGCGAATATATGCAGGGCATCGGTCCAAAAATTTTCATAATATTTAACAATCATTGGACGTATACCAGATCGCTCGGATATAATACGGTGTTCCCCCCCGCACCGGCAGCTGATTGCTTAAACATGACATTGTAGCTTCGGGGAAACATTAACCTCTGCATTTTGCGGTGTATGATTCATCGCGCCGCATTCGTGTATTATTATAGTTATATCACGAGCCGCATCCCCCGACGCGCAGAAATCAACGTTTCGAGCTTTTGCGCGCGCTGCAAAACGCGCGATATTTTTAATTGCGATTCGCCGCGAGCTTGCGGTCAAGGTACGCTGCAGATCGAAAAATAAATACGATGGAAAAACAAAATTTCCCCGCCGCGAGCTCGTTTTCAAGGCTGGATAGCGCGTGAGTGCGCGCGATTGTTCCTTTGTTATTTTGCTCCTCAAAATTCAACAGTGCTTAATTACTTATATTTATAACCTTTAAGTTTTTAACGTTATTTTTATCCTCGCATAACACAGACTTCTCAGTTTATTTTTTGGCGCATCATCGGATCATCGTTCGTTGAAACCAGAAAAATGTCAAGCTTATTTCAGATTATTTGCATCGACAATTTGATCGCGCGGAAAATTAGATTACAAGTCGGTGACAATTTAATTGGCAATGACATCATTAAAAACGTAGGTTGAAATTCTTACGCTCACGTTTCCATAGCCTTTGGGTTGTCAGAGAATCAAAAATTGAAATTACATTTAGTTGAATTGATAAAATCAATAATAAGCAAGAATTAAAGTTTTGTGCACCAAAAACGATATTTTCAATTTACCGCGATAAAGGTCGTACGTTGGGCCTTGTGAACGATTCGCGCCATGCTCAAACTTGTGGACAAACCCAAATTTTTGTTTTGGCGCCAATGATGACACATGCGTTAGCGCCGCATTGTTTACGTCAACATTGTACGGGATCGTGCAATGCTTCTCGTTACTATTATAATAAGTACTTTATTGTTATCATCTAGGATGAGCCAACTCTTTCAAAAGCAATCAATATTCAAGTAACTCCTGATGGACAAATGTCGATAACACCAGTGAGACTCTAAAATGCTATCGCAAAATGTTTTAGGTTACGTCGTTTAATTTGTTATTTTTCGTTTTCATTTCGAGCAGTTTAAAGGAGTGCAGTGTTACATTAGAAGTCGGGCAGACTCAAACTGGAGGCAGTTGGGAATTGATACTACTTATCCTTTACATTTGCAAGACACGTGTCTTCTTAATCCAATTAAAATTTGGTTTAGAGTAATATCTGCAATGAGTGAAAATAATAATCTAGTAAACAAGAGGCTGGTAAGATTTTATTTTATACCTAATTTTGTCAGTGATAGGAGTATCTTGCAATGAAAATGTTGTTATGCAGCAGGAAGAATCATCTGGTGATGAGCCACCTTGTAAAAAACCATGTTCAGAAATTGACAATAGCAATGCAGGTACAGGTGATAATTCAGTACAAGATTCAGCAGTTAATAATGAAGCGCACAATAATACACCCTATGAAGCAATTACTTTACAAATTAAAAAAGAAGAAAGTTCAAATTATTCAGCAGAAACTAAAGAGCATGATCAAATTGAAACTAAAATAAACTCAAAGTCAGATGAAAATGAACAATCTGATCCTCTATTTATTCCAAATGTAAATGATGATCATGGAGATGATTTTGAAGCAAGAATTTTAAATGGTCAAGTTGGTGATGGTGATCAAGCATTAGATATAGGTAATGCTACTGGTAGCAGTGATCAAGTTGGTGTCTCTAATGCAACTGGTGATGGAGCTCAACAAACTGGTCAAACAAATAATAAACCAAAGTACAGAGAAAAGTGCAAATATGGAGATACATGTTACAGGTAAATGAAAGCATTTCCATTTGTAGTATCAGTGCTTCAATTTTTTGATGTTCATTTTAACTATTTAGGATAAATTCAGAGCATAGAAGTCAATTTTCTCATCCAGGGGACAGTGATTATAATCTTATTGATCAAAGGCCTGAATGTGAGTATGGAACTGCATGCTATCGCAAAAATCCACAGCACAAACAGGATTATAAACATACAGTTCGCAAACCCAGAAAAGTCAAAACAACAGTAGCTAGGCAACTTACCCCTGAAAGTGATTTCTCTGATGAGGACTCGTTCACTGAATCTATTGATGAATCAGATTATGATCCATCATTCATCGATGACGATGAATATGAAATAGATTATTGACACTTACAAATAAGATATAGCAAAAGCAATCAAATTGTAAATAGGAATATATTATTTAGGATTAAAATGTTTCAATAACAGAGAGCAAATTAATAAAAACAATGAAGAATCATTAAAAATGATAAAATTCAAAAAGTGATAATTCAGTTGTTATTTGAATTCAAATACTTTTGATGAATGAATAAAGTTATCAATTTGTTTTTATTTAATCAAAACAATAAATTTTTAAACAATATACATTTGTAAAAATTTAATTTTATGTACAATATTTACACACACATTATCGTCATTAGTTAAATAGCTATACGCGTATAGGTGTTACGTGTTTTTAAAACAATCTTTCCATGTGGTATTCTTAAAAATTCATAGGTTTCAGTCTCGTCTCGTACTCACGCAATAGCGAGCTCGTCAACGAATTATGTATATGTACAATTTATATACGCAATGCACTCTTCTGCGTCAAATTTTTGTTTTAGATACAACTTTCTTGGACGGTTGCATGTCTGACTATCGTATCGGCAGTGTAACGAGTTGGTCTTTGTAAGCTGTGGTAAGTCTGCAAAAAATATATTTTACGTTGAATTTACAGCTGCGGTTGAGATAAACATTTATTTATTGAAAAAAAAAATGCGATGTTTACATTAGGCGCTGCTCTGGGATAGTCGATATCCTGCAAAACTCTTGGCGGCATGTGGGGATCGTCTCCCCACATCGTCCTTCTCGGCAGCGATCCGTAAACGGAGAGCTTGCGATCTGTAACAATCATCGTGAGAATAATCGGTGCCTTGCCGGTGTATATCCTCTCGTGCTCGCGTGCCGCAGTAAATTATTCATACGCGCAACACGGTGCATATATATAGGAAATGTTGTTTGGCGTTAATTGATGGGCCTGTGTGTATATAACGCGGCGCAATTCGTAGATTTCATCAAAAGGACGAGCGCGATGTATTATTAAAGTCGAGTCCCGACGCTCGAGGAAACGTTATATAAAGGTAAGAGCGAAGTTTCCGGTTTCAGCCTCGCTGTGCTGTATATGTGTATGCGTGTGTGAAAGTCTGGCTGCTGCTGATGGGCGCCGTGCAAACAAAATCAACGTTCCATGGCCATAGCTGCGCACACACATATCCAGGCGAGTTTCGACTCGAAGCTTGAATTTAACGCTCGCGCGCTCGTCGTCATAGGCTTGCGTTTAATTTATCATCGCGCAGCGAGTATGTGTACACATTTACGCTACGCGTCTGTGTGTGTGTGTGTGCAGTGCCGTGCAGTGCAACTACACTCGACAACGAGAGCTTGCAAGGCGAGACTTATGCTTATCGCTGATTTATACTCGTGTGCGAGCTCGCATGCGGCAGAGAGCCGGCGAGAGAGAGACGCGTCGTAGTCGTGTTTGGTGTCGCGGCGGTAAGTGAGCTCTGACGCGGTGGCTGGCTGGCTTCGTATAGCCATCAGCGAGTACTACTACGTACCTGCATAATTATTGGTTAGCGCCGTAGTCGGTATGAGATCGGGATTTCCATCCTCCTCCTCGACGCCTTTGACCGCAAACGTGGCAATGCTCGGTGGCTGATGCAGATGCTGCTGTTGGTGCTGATGCTGCTGAAGAGCTTTTGGTTTGCTCGGCGAGGAGCCCGAGCCACCGGTACCGCTGCCGCCCATGGCCGCGTGTTTTCTCCAAAGCGCCATTAATACACCCGTCACGATAAGACCTAATCCCGTGGCGGTGCCACCCAGGCCGATCAGAATGGGCGATATGTCGAGAGGAAGGCCCGTTTCACCTGTTGGCAACACACGCGTATGATACGTCATTTGCAACGTCATTTTTCACCTCAGCTTTCCCTTTTTCTTTTCAATTTTTTTTCTTTTTTGCTGCCTTCGCTCGGAGGCAATTATTTCTCAGCGACTGGTAGTTCGTCGCCGAGCTAATGAAAGTAATCTTTGCAACTTCTTGGTGCAGGCCTCGACAAAAGTGAAAGAGAGCAAATTACGAGCTGCGGCGAGAGAGAGAGATACCTGCGCCTCGACGTCAATAAGGAAGCCGCGCTGCTTTGTAGTACTCCGCTTCATAAGAAATTATGAATTTTTTCGTGGAAGCTCGCGACGCTGCAGCTATACAGCTAGGCAGCAATGTCAAAGAGTTGCTCGTCGTCGTAGCTAATAAAAAAAGTTGTGCCGCGGCTCGCGCGCCTTACTTACCCGTAAACTTGGCGACGTCCCTGTAGACAATGCCCTCGAGCACGACGGGCTCGCTGGTGCCCCGAGCATTGACGGCGAACAGCACGACGCGGCTGCTCGGCTTGCGCAGCTCCAGCCGCCACTCGGGCGTGTCCGACTCCCAGCTGAGCTCGTCGACGCTCGCCACGAAGCGCTGGGGCAGTCCGCCGTCCGCGCCCTCGTAGCACGAGATCCTGATCCAGGCGCCGCTCTGATTGCGCGCCGTGCAGTTCTGCAGGGCCTCGGGCTTCACTGCGAATTTTGCAGGGAAGAATGAAATTCATTATCATCACCTCGATCCCTTTTCAAACAATAAGAATATCTCTTCTCCGTTTGTATAGCTACTGGTGCATTAGCCGGCTTTTACATGGGTACACGTATAGAGAATACTATGGTGTAGTCCGTGTGACACATAGCGCGCGAATTACATTAAAAATAATCAAAGTGAAAATCGAAGCGTACAGCTAGCAGCTTTGTGCGCAGTAGCAGCTAAAGTGTAATGCAAACGCGCGAACGTCGCAATTCCACCCAACCTACATGTAGTCTTACACACCTATAGGCACGCAAGCTCGGCGTGAGAATGAATATTCAATGGAAATTTCGCTTAATTTACAGATATAAAAAATTTACGGCGATAGAGTGCGACAATCGCAGCGCCGCAGCAGCAGCAGCAGCAGCAGCTCTCGAATACGGCGCGCGCTGCGCTTTTATACCGCACACACCTACGCGCATATATAATATAAAATACGCAGTGTATCCGTGCGCAGCGATTCGCTGCGTATTATATATGTATATCCCGAGCGGAAAAGCGGCAAGATTCATACTTCCAATATATGAACGCGCAGCAGCGGCGGCAGAGGAGGCAAAAGTGCAAAGTGAACGTCATGGTTTTAATTAACCATTTAATTATCCACAGCTGTTAAGATACATTCGCGCTAAAGCAGGTACGTATCCTTGTATATATCCGCGTGTTCAAACGCGCTGCTTGCCTATATATGTAGCTATATATAGGTAGGCAAAGCGGGGGGTGGGGCTCGGCTGAAAGAGAGAAAAGTGTGCGCGTGCAAATTTTCATAAAAGTTATATCAAGAGCCGCTGTGTGTGTATGTTACAAAACAAGCAGCTCGCGTCGAGATTAGAAAATCCTTGTTAGTTTCGGCTGGAGATATTGAGAGAGAGAACTGCTTTCAAGCGCGAGGAGCGACATGTAAAATTTATCATGCATTTCGTGCAATATGTACATACAAGCGCTCTCGCATCGCTCGCGGTTTTATGCAATTTCCTTCATTCACAAGCAGCAGCTTTTCGAGTGCGGATGTATTCATCAAATTATAAATGTCCTGGGGTTAATTTGCAACTGACACCGCGCGACCTTTCATCGTTTGTCAATTGAGACAAAAGGGATGCCGCTAGACGTCCTCTGCACGTAAAGCGAGTACACGATTAAAACGAATTCGGTACGTTTTATCATTTTCCTTTGAAAATCGCGCGGCAGCGCGCGAAATTAAATAAGGGGCGCTTGGGCTTCCCGGCGCGTATCGATGTTACATAGTGCACCTGATAGTACTTGTGTGTCCGCGTGTATTGGTATCAAATAACCGGAACGACGACCGATCGTACCCCATGTATAATAAAGCATCGAGCGCTGGGGCCATCGTTCATTCGATGATTTCTAATCGAAGCCGACGAAAATTATGCATCGCCAACCATTGTCGTGTCCACCTGCGGTATACGCGCGCGCGCAACAAAGTTATTAGTATTTATAATCGTCTGGCTGAGCAATACAATAATTCAAGCGGGTGCCGTGCGCGATGCCTTCGTGCCCGTCGATTTAAATTATATCTTCGAGTACGCCCCCGCCTCCACCTCCATCCACCTGTGTGTGGGTGCGTGTTGTGTTGCGCTACGTGCTGGCGCAACGGCGTGTAGTATAGTAGTGGTGGTAATAGTAGCTCCTATACCCGACAACAATGGCATTATATTATTATACACAGCCAGTCAAACGAAGCGATTGTTTCGATTTCGCATGAACAAATTTCAATTAAGTTCGAGGCCGCGCGTACACCTGCCCAAATCCGGCGTCGTTCGAGCCCGGGGAGTTTGATCCCCCCGCGAAGCCGCTACGTTACTTGGGTTTTTCAGCAAAAATATATTCGTAAATTCCCTCGCTAGAAATTGGAGCTGCAGGTATAGTGCAAAAAGTTGGTATTATTTCTCATGAAAATCTGGCGGATAGCTGCTACTGTCGTTACTACTGCTGCTGCTGCTGCTGCTCTGCTTTGGTTAAGTTAGAACTTATCTCTACGACCCATACATTATAATAATCTCTTCAGCCATATTTGAATAGAGAATCCTCTGTTAGTATAAATCTCGAAATTTACATTCGCTCCAAAGTCTGATCTTACATCAGACAAGTTGCCGAGTTATATATTCTCCGATGTGCAGATTTAAGTGTTATTTCAATGGCAAACACGGACCGGTAAAATGAGTATACGTGTGCAGCTTGCAGTATACGTATCGCACTGTATTACATAAACGCGTGTACACGCGCGCTTCGCTAAATTCCAAGTCCATAACGTCGAAGTACATTACTATGAAATATACGTACGCGCGCCCCCGAAAAAAAGGCCAAGCTCGAGGAAAATTATAAAATTAAATATTTGCCGCTGATGGAGTTCGCTGCGCCCAGCCAGCTGTAAATTATTTTAAATTTCGCAGGTATAACGCGCGGGGTATGCGGGTATATATATGCGCGCAATCTCAGCTCCGTAAATAAGCCAATTAATATCCTGCGCGCTTTAACGTAGCGTATATACGTAAGGCAAAATAACACGTGCGGATACGCATCTCGTGTGCAGGCGGCTACGAGAGACGAATTTACACGGAAAATAATAAAATATACGCGCCTTTATTAGATTCGCGCGCGCCACTCGAGGCGCCGTGAGGCGCTACTCACTCGGTTCCGGCACGTGGTAAACGCAGGCTTGCTTGGACTGGCCGATCTCGTTGCTGGCCCAGCAGCTGAAGGTCCCGTAGTCCTGCTCGGTGTCGAGCGAGTGGCTCAGTCGGCTGACCAGACCCTCGCTGCGGAAACGCTTGTCGGGCAGATTCTGGGCCGGCTCCAGGATCGTGTTGTTGAAGCTCCAGTAGAACTGGACGCTCCGCGGATTGGCCTCGATGGCGCAGAGCAGCTTGAGCAGCCGTTTCCGCCGCGAGCGCCTCCTCGACCTCCTCTCCTGCTCTTCCTCGTTCTCAAAGTCCACGAGGGCGTTCATATTTTCTTCGGCATCCTCCTCCTCGTCCCTCTCTTCCTCTTCGTCGTCGTCGTTGTCGTCGTCGATCTCGTGAGGCTCCAAAGGTCTCAGCTGCTTGCACGTCGGCGCATCTGTACAACGCACGAAACATAACGTTATATCGTGTAGTCGACGAGTGTATACGTCTCGGAATCGCACGCGCGAGTCGTGGACGAAAAGTACTACGCGAAGCTACGTGGCGATGCATTGCCTCGGGGGCGCATAATTCCATATGCCTCGAGCGTATTATAAGCTAGGCGAGCTGCGGTGCGAGCTGCACAAAGGAAAACACGCGCGCGCTAGCGTACTCGAAATTGCTAGAATATAAAGCCATCAGCTGCGCGTGAGTCTATTATACCAAACCGAGAATACGTTGAGAATTTATATATGCCAAATGAGATGCACACAGCGATACGTGCTATAGTAGTTGTACAACTTCGATACTATACCTCCCGCTTGCACGTATAGACAAACCATCCCGGCTGAAATGTGACACGTATATTGTACATCATCACTATACTTGCCAGGTGCTTGGGAGCTTTGTATTCGTACGAGGCAAAGAGCTCGACCGGCTCGCTCGGTGGTATATTTTATTAATTTCCAGATTACTTTGATTCGATTACTTTATTTGAAACGGACTATGGAGTAGAACTCCGTTTGGCCATAAACGCGCCCAGACGCGTCCAGACGCGTCCAACGAGAGACGCAGTGATCGTAGACATTTTTTTTCTTGTAAAATACATGATTATTATGGATATACTCACACATGACGCGCAAAGGAACTAGGTTGGATCTGTTGCGTCCCTCGGAGTTGGTTGCCACGCAGCTGTAGTTACCCGCTGCCTCTCGGCTTATTCCCTGGAGCACGAGAGATTGATCGGATAGTACCACCCCGGCGCTGGCATTGTGGCGCAGTTCTTTATTCTGCAGGCAGGCAACAAAAAAATCACTGCTGCACTCTCGAGTCTTACACGGATATATAGTTAGTCGAACAAGCTCGAGCTATTAGATGATTAATTTTTTTTTGTATCTCGTCTGAGCTGTGCACTGCCAGTACAACGCATGAATACGACGAAGCGTCGCACGATTAAATTACGAGAAAAATCATGCGACGTAATTTCTGATATTTAATTTCAGTGCGATATCCGTAGCGAGGCACAACATTGGGTTGGTAAACAGTTGAAAAAATGTATGGGTGTAAGGGAAATTTTTTTCTCGTCCATAAGCTCGCGGGCGCGAGAGAAATCGGCATTCGCGAACGATTGACTTTATGTGCCATTAATCTGCATCGATTCCCATGTATAACCCGCGGATATACAGAGTTCGGCTGCTATGTATATATGAATGCCGAGTGTGCGCAAATGCAAAATTTTGAATAAAACGGAAACGACTCGAAGGGGTCGCTCGCGCGGTGGGTGGGGTGGTGTAAAGTCGTGAATTCACAATAATTCCAAGAGAATACACTTCTCTCTTTTCCTCTCGCTCCCTCCCTCTTTCTCTCTCTCTATCTCTCTCTCTCTCGCTCTCGTTCACTCGCGCTATCGTTTCACAAGCAGAGTACTATATGTAACACTCCAAGAGCTCACGTATGAATGAGCGGCCCCTGTATCAACGACTCGTAATGTACACACAATCGTAGTAACTTCGAACAATTGACTTTTATATGCTTTTCACATTTCAGCCTCTTTGTTCGCAATTATTATTTTTTTTTTCCATCTCTCATTCTCTCTCCTGGCCTGCTTTTTCGAACTTACATCGCGCGCATAATGTCCCGAAGCCCGAAGGCTGGCTTTCATTTGATAATTTGATTTCGAAATGTCCACTTTTATACGGGTAAACACGAGCTCGCACAGCGGCCTCGGAAAAATGCATTTTATAAAATTATCGACTGTATAACTGCCGCGGAGCGTTGGGGGAAAAGAAAGGAGAGCGTTGAGCAAACATCATCGGCGAAACTACTTCGATATTATAGCTGCACCGAGCGCTCCTGTTGAATATTTGCACGCGCAGTCCAACGCATTGCGTAATGACAACAGCAGCAGCAGCAGCAGTAGCCGTAACAACAATAGCTGATAGCAAATGAAAAACGCGTACTTTATGAATAATAAAAATATATACTGCTCGAGCTGCTTGCGTAACGAGCTCGCGCAGCGCTGCAAAAAAAAAACACAGAAAGAAAAAAACAACCAACAAACGAGCTGGGCTGGTCTGTTGGCTGCCTGGTTTATTGATATACATAAATATAGCACATTTTTACCCCGGCGCACGACAAAATGCGATTGAAACGATGGACACGTTCTCTACAAACGTGATTATTAATGAATTTATCGCTGCTCTACAGTCTGATGAAATTTTGCGTGGACTGATCAAATGAAAAAGTCATTTACCGAATTTTGACATTTTAATTTGAGCATTATTGAAGAAATAATTTTACAAAACTTTTAATAATGCCCGAAGAAAATTACGAGTGCTTTTTTCAGCTGAGAGCTTGACTTTAGTCGAATTTCGTTGATGTATTCCATTTAAAGTATCTAGGTTTGTTGCGCAGTTAAGCATAGTAAGTATATATCGTGTACAAGCGAGTAATGCAAAGGTGCACTGGGGGGCTTCTAGCATGAATTGCACCTGTGCCACCGAGTAATAAAGCTCGTAAACATTTAGGCTAAAAAGTATCCGCGTGCGTACGTTGCACTCCTCCTCCTCCACCTCGGCGTTGTTTAAATTTACATGGATGTTATTTCAGTGACGTGAGTAACGACAGCTAGAGAGAGAGTGAGAGAAGAAAAAAGTGCATAGCCATTAGGTACAAGTAGCAGGCCCCCTCCCACCTGCGGTGCACGCGCGTTACATATTACTCGAGGCGAGCTTTTAAAATCTCGAGCTGCTCCTGCGTTCAGAAGCGCAATTTTACGACGCTGCTCCCGCTGCCACTGCTGCTGCTCCTCGTTAAAAGTATACATATACGCATGCGAGCCGTCGTGCGCGCGCGTACATATACACGCCTGCGGGTGCGTGTACTTTTACTGGCAGCTTAACGTCTTAATGACACCCCATCCACGACTCGCCAAGGGGCGAATAATTAACCCCCCACTGAAAAGCGACAAATCTTCCTCATTTTCTGTAAACTTTCATCACGTGTATTCGCACGAAAATCACCTAGTTTGCTCGCTACTGCTACATACCGCTGCTTTCTCAGGTCTCGAGTTCTACACGAGCGAGCGACGAATCGTCGGAAAAGAAAGTTGGAGCCTGAGCTTCGTATACGCGTACGTGTGAATGCGTTCGTCCGTGTATGTGTGTGGGTGTGTCTGTGCGTGTGTGCGCGCGCGCAAAAGCGAACGAGAGAAAGAACGAGGACATAAACAAGCGTCGTGATCCTGCTCGAGCAGCTTAACTGCCGAACTCCATTCCCCGACTTACGCTCGCGCGAGGCGCGACTACGACGACGACGACGACGACGACGACCAAAAAGCTTTTCGCTTTCTCTCTTTCTCGTACTAACGCGCGTTTCACTGCCAGTAAAGCAGCAGCTATTTTTCGCTCTCGGTAAAAAAGAGAAGGGAAGGGAATTATTTGCTCAAATGTACATTAGACGTGTGTGTGTGTGTGCGTGTGTGCGAGTGTCTACATGTGTGCTGTACGATGCTGCTGTATGGTGCTATTACATCCCTTTCTCGCTTTGAAATCGGTTTGAAAAAAAAGACATTAGCGTGAGAGAGAAAGAAAGAGTAAAAGAGAGAGAGAAAGAGAAACGGAGAAAGTGAGGCAGATAGAGATAGATAAAGAGTTGGAATAAGTTTATGCAAAGTAAAGACATAGCAGCTCGACGAACGGAGGAACAAAGGATCCTCTTTCTTTTTGCACTGTGTGCAGGTGTGGGGCCATGGGAGCGTAATTAAATGGGATAATTGTGCGCGCGCGACTGCTGCTGCATCTTTCGTGCGGCGCGCCCGCGCACTGCTTGCGCCGACGCCGACTCTCTGCGGTTGAAAGGAAATGAATTTTGATTTATCTCGCAAATCCGCGCGCGCGCCGACAAATTATGTTTTTAAAATTAATAAACTTTGACGGTTCATCCTTCCTCCTTTTGGAGTCTTTGATGCTCGCGCGCGCGCGCGAGCAAGAGCGTCTCATTTTTCTTTCATTCCGCAAAATGTTTTCATCGCAAAACAAGTTTTAATACGGGCGCACTTTTGCCGCATTAATGAAAAAAACGTTATATAATGTAAAAAAAAAACGTAAAATTAAAATTAAAATTGATGCACCTGCTTCAATGTAACGACACAGTCGAAACGAGAAATTGGTAATATTCGAGCAACGTTTGATAATAATTTCCCTCTTATGAGCGAATATGTGACAAGTAATATCAATGCGTATGTGTACGCCCCTTATATTACATACCATGTAAATATATTCTGTTGATGGTAGACTACCGCTATTATTTCGCAAGGGCATATAGAGTGTATATACGCGTATATATTATGCATCTCTATATAGTCAAAGCGAAAATCGCGATCTGCCTCGAGGTCTTTTAATTTAGCGTATTCTTCCCTGCTAAGACAGTTCTCTCTATTTACACACAAGTATATAGGTACACACAGGTACCAAACTATCTTCTCTTTATGAAGCTCGTCCCAATATTTACCATCGTCTATGTCTCTGCTTATCTATACTAACGTATAACAAGCACATACGAAAATTAATGATTTTTCTCTCCGTAAGTTCGAAAATTTACATTCATTTTTGGATGCGTTAAAAAATGACTATATTCAATTGTATTGATTTTTTTTTATTGATAAAATAAAAATGTATATTTACTCCGTGAAACCATGATAACTTGAAGTTCCTAGGCACCGATCTGACGTTGCACTCGAAAGTAACATCGTCGCCTTCTTTGATGCCTTTCAGATCGAGAGAAGAGCCCACTCTCAGCTGTACGATGGGTGCAACTGAAAAAAAGCCATTATTAATTCATGCATAAGTAATGTTGAAAAATGCATAAAAGCTTTTTTTGAAGCCGACTAACTTATTAGTAAATTTTGAATAGTATTTAAATTAATGAAAAATGAAGAATAGGGTTTCTTATATTTTTTGCGCGTCATTTCAAACGAATTTTTTTACTGTTTCAGCATAGAATGGAAGTCGATATGGCAGACAATACCGGAGGAATTGTCGACGTATCCTCAACTTCGATTGCGCTCACGTTTTCTCGAAAGACTTTTTCGGTTTAGGTATTGTAAGAATATATAGCAAAACCATATAAATGTGAGTATACGTTAGAACAGAGGTGTATATATATATATGTGTGTGTGTGTTTGCAAAAAATTTGACAGAGAAAATGTTAAAATATTGGATACGTTGCGTATCGAATTCTACGTTTCGCTTGAGCGTCAATTTCTTTTCAACTTTACACGTTTGTTTTTTTTCCGTCTTCACGCAACTGCTGTCTGGAAAATGGCATATTTCACGAGACTTTGTTGCGCAAGCCCGTGTGTTCGTGTAAATATAGTATATTTCTCAACGGGTGCACATATGGTTTTTTAGCAAAACGAGGGATTATAGCACGAGCCGAAGGCGAGTGCTGTAACGAGTTTTGTTAAAAAACCATATCTGCACCAGTTTGACATACTATTTTTTCCTACGAGAGCCTAAAATTAGCGGCAAAGTTGCGTATTTTAGGTTAGAGTGGGAAAAAAAGTTTTGGTTATTCGATAGTACCTTTACTCGAACAAATACATGATGTAAATTACACGTATCTGAGTCTCTCGTCGACTAATTAGTTTCCAATTTACTTTATAATAAGCACACAAATAATAGAATTGAATAGATAATATATCATAGAATAATCCTAATAAAAATTGTCAACATTAATAATAGCCCAATAACGATAAAATGACCATTCAAAATTATATTTTAAATTACAGTACCATTAATTAGTTTGTTATTAATTTTTCTATTAAAAGTATTAAGCGTATTTTAAATTACATAAAAGTGATAATTTAATTTTTTCCAAAAAATTAGACTAGTTTTCAACCAATTGGAATACGGTACTATCACTTTGAGCTTATACCACCTGAATCTCTACACTTTTAAGTGGTGAAGTAAAAATAATTAGATAACTCGACCGGTTGTGAAACCGTTCCATTGAATTTCACATTTTGAATTTAGAAAATAAAAAATAATCAGTTCAAGTAAAATAATACCAATTTCATCCTTCCCCACTAAATGGCGAGTACCTTTGCGTATGAATCTGCAAGTGGCAAACTAAATATAATTGTATATATAAGTCAAAGCACGTTATACCGTAGTTTTGTAATGTTTTTTATTTCTTCACTTATTTAATTCTTAAGTGAAGCATTTTTATTTCTGCTAACATGACGTTCTTTGGTTCTGGGTCGTACCATAACAATTATAAAATATTTGGCATTTATTTGCATGGAATTTATTCGTCGTATTTCCATGTAAAATTCAATACTGAACACGAATGAGCATGGTGTTGGACATTAAAGTGATTGGAAAAATTTTTAATCAATTTTTTTACAATTAAATTGTCAAAACTCGCATCAAATGATAATTTTCGTAAATTTTATTTAGTAAAAATGTTTATTAAAAAATAGTGGAGTATTATGGTAGCATTATATGGAGCTATTGGTTAGTATATTCTCGGTGTCAACAGCCCTTCTATATCCAAGAAAATTTTTTTGTTTGCTAAAAGCAGTTGTAAAATGTTGAGTATTGTTACCAGCGCTATAGAAAAAGAGAAAGTGTACTCAAAATAAAAACGTAGATTGATTAAATTAACAATAAGAGTGAGAACAATAGTGACAAGTGGAGATCGCAATATTGCAGAGACTTAATCTTGTAGAGGATGATCAAGAATGTGCCTCCTGCGGGTAAATGTGAAAGTTAGAGTACGCCACACCCTGGTCCGGTCACCCGCGGCAGGCTGTTTTAGAAGCGCGAGCTCCCCATTGCAAAGCCACGCGCATAAATTGCGGTTTTCGCGGTCAGTACCTTCAGAATGTTGCTTGAACTGCTGCTGAGAACGCGTTCTTACAGGGTGTTGTTTTTTCAGGTGGTGGCACAGGTAGCAGTGTCTTTCCTCGAGCAGTACTCGACGCTGCACCTGCGTCGCGAGAAAGTCACGAAAGCCTCGACAATGGGGTGAGCCAGCCAAGCGATGAGCAGAGGGAAGATGACGATTTTGAGCCGACATTATTGCTTGCACAGCCACGCGTTGACGTTCATTAAAATGTTACATCCAAAGCGAGTTTCAGCCAGGCGCAGCGATCCACTAATAGTTTCTTTTTTACTTATTTTCGCTTTACTTCTCTCTTATACGTTGCCTAGCGCGCGCGCGCGCCCCGTCTGAAATTCGATACTCGAAATCCGCTGGTTGACTTACCGATCACGTTCGACGGTTTATCTTTCTCATAGGACTCCGGCTATGCATATGCCTGGCTGGCTGCGCACAAGGCCGGGGTTTATATGCAGAATTCATGGTTGCACACGTGAAAAAGCCTCGGCGCGTCGAAAACATATTGCCGTAGATTTTTCTCCTTTTCTTGTCCTGTACTTGCACCACTGGGTCACCTGTCCGTGGCTTTTGTTTATCGTCGAGGTAATGTATACTTGATTTTGATTACGCAAGCCTTGGAATACACGTATACATAAAGGATACGGAGCTCGCACGCTTGTACGGTTTGTTCGCGGCGAAGCGCGATAGACCGTAATCTATACGTTGCATTAAACATACAGGTGTATGATAGTACCTTCGAGATAAATGTCTGGCAGAGTATATACGCCGAGCGCCGCTGGGAAAGAGAGAACGTTTACTTTTGCCCGACTCTTATTTATGTAGGGGAAAGGGAAGGGAGGGAGGGAGAGACAGAGAGAGAGAGAGAGAGAGAGAGAGAGAGAACGTAAGAAACGCGTTATGTACTGCTTCAAAGTCTACGTGGCTTTTCTAGCTGATTGAGCTTAATTTTATCGTGGATCCAGGAAGCTCTATGTGTACACTAGCAACTCGTTGCCGCTACTGCTGCTGCTTCTCTTCTCTCCTACTCTCTGTGCGGCTCTATGTACAAATGCAGAAGAGAAGTTGTCGTGTGCGAAAGAGAGAGAGAAAGAGGGAGAGAGAGACAGCACTGCTGCTACATATATTCATGCGGTGTACAAACCATACCAATAGATATATATTTAAGTACGAGCTCGAGCTATGAAGTAAAAAAAAGTGCGGAGGGTTGCATTGATCAGGCGCCCCCGAGAGTAGAGCTGTGGACGTGCCACACTGCAGCAGTAGTAAATGCCGGGGTTGGGTCAGACGACGACGACGACGACGACGACGACGACTACGACTACGACGACGGCGGTGGTTTGTCTACGCGCTCTGTAGTGGTCACTCGTGCTTGTTTACGTCGTTTTGAGTAGCCCGAGCTTCCGAATCGCAGCCGCATGTATATGCAACACGTATATAGTAGTAAGTATATAAGTACAGTACAGCAGTGGTAGATATCCGACAGACAGGCCGACCCGAGCCGGCTATGGAGAATGCGCACGAGAGAGAGAGAGAGAGAGAGAGAGAGGCAAGGCAGGGAGGCGAGAGAACCTTGTGTAACGCTGATTGCGTTGCTTGGCTATATTCCGCCGCCGCTGCTGTTATACCTCGATGGCGTTTATATACACGTGGGCACTGGGGTTTGCGTTTTAAGGAGCTTGTTCTCTAAGCGATTTAGTGTGCGGGCGTGCGCCATGTCCGTTGTAAGACGAAAATTGTCTTTGTCGCTGCAGCCTTGTTCGCTCGAGAACTCGGATTAGTATTGTCTCATTGTAGTGTCATGACAACATCCTCTCCTCCTACTCGCTTTTTTCCAGCTGTAACACCGAATCTTTTTGCTCCATTTCTTTTTTAACCGTGCATTTGATTTCGAATTTGATAAATCGCAGTTTAATCGATCGGTTTTTCTTTTTTGGTTATATCAAAAAGGCGAAAGAGAGCCTCAGATATTAATTGCCAGATCTTCCGCGTGTAAAGTAAAGTGAGCTATGTATTGACTTTGCAGTCAATCCAAACTTTGCTCCATAATTAACTTGTGTACTCAAGCATGTGCTGCAGCCACGTTGAATTTTCACCTTTAAATTTTAACCCCGCGCGCGCGGAGTGTACTTTGCGTTTGCAGAATATAAAAAAAAGAAAGAATCCGGTTAAGCTATATAAAGTATCCAGAACCGTTCCACGGCTTAAAGAAGTTCAATCAAAGCGGATATTTCCTCTTTGATTAGTCCGGGCTTATAAGCATCGATCGTAAAGGTGGTAAACGTATTGGTATACGTCGTTCGCCTTAGCTCAACGGGAGTCGATGGAGAAAATACACTATTATATATACAGGTATATATAGCAGAGCAAGAGAGTGTGGTATATACTCACAATGAACTTTGAGCTTCCATTTATCCTCAATAACGGCATCCGGCAGATGTCGGTTCTCCGCACGACAGGTAAGATATTTGCCTTCGTCCTCGGCGTCTGGCTGCCATTCGAGTATGCTCACGCTCATGCCGTCTTTGTGAAACTAATGGTAACGATTTGTCAATGCTCTTATTGCTATACCCCGGCGCTGGAGCCTCGGCGTTGAGTTAAATCAACGCTTCACGGCGTGCAGCGCGTGGATCCCGCGCGCTCGCGAATTTGTATATCGTTATACGAATTATAAAGATAGTCGAGCCGAGGCTTATTCGAGGTCAATATTTCAGTCATCGTATCTCTCGGCTCGACTAATTTTATTCGATCGAATGAATCCGATTTTGCGCGGAAAAAAGTATGTATAGTCACTTACGTCTTTGGATAAATTTTTCAACGTTTTCGAGCCTTTGTACCAAGTTAGAGTGGCTTCCGGCCTCGAGCCGCTACTTTTGCACTCGGTCTGGTACCTCCTGCTCGACGAAACGAACTGCGTCTTATTGATTATTTTAACTTCCAAGGGTTTCACTGCAACAAATAAGGTGATATTTTAATTTTTCGCTGCTTTCATATTACATGAAAAATTGTCTGAGATAAAAGTCAAACAATAGGCGCGCGTTCGTGAGTACTGAATAAAGAGTTTACATAAAATTAAAGGCATTTAACGAGATCGTCAAATGGTCGTAGAGGGAGAAGGAAACGTTTTTAGCTATAGCAGATCGTTTCATCTAGAAACTTTCTTCCTAATCCACTCAAAAGAGTAGAGAGAGAGAGAGAGAGAACTCGTCGTTGTCCTCGTCCTCGTGGCGGCCGAGAGGAGCAGAAGTAATCGGTACGTCCTCAACACATATAGCGAGAGCTAGCAAAGCGTTAGCTCTCAATTCTCGGCACTTAACTCGAATCGATGTAAATGCTTCATTCGTTTATCCTTTTTCAACATCCAGAGATAAGTCCCGACAGCCCGCCTGGCTCTCCTTCGCTATTTTCACGAACTTTTTATCTTGATTAAAAATTACCAGAAGTCGCGAGTCGTCTCGGCTACTTCCTTTCTCTCTCTCTCCCTCTTTCTCTGTGCGTATAAGTAGATATATAGCGCGCCGAGCCACCAAGGAAGGAGGAAAGCGTTTCAGCTCGAGCCCGGCCGCTGTCTTCTTACACGGCCTGGCGTGACATGATTTGATTTAAACTTGCCCATGGCCGCTCTCTTTTTCTCGCTCTATCTCTCTTTTGCACTCTCTCTCTCTCTCTCTCTCTCTCTCCCATCCTTCTCTTTAGCTTGACTAAGCTCCTTGTGCTCGCGAATGCTCGAAGATGCGAGAATCGTAAAGTTCCGCGCGCGGTGACGAGCAACCGTTAAACTATAAATGCTAATGCTTGCCTTGAGAGAATTCTTTACGTGCGTATATGATATGGAAAAAAGCTAAGCTCCTGACTCGATCAAAGAGACTTGACTCGCGCACGTTGCTCGGGCGCCAGGAAAATGCAAAAAAGCTGCTGTTTCCCGAGTTTTGGCTTTTATACATAAAGTCAAGGAGCACAAGAAGAGAGAGAGAGAGAGAGAGAATGTGCCTCTGCTGAGCTGTACAATTCTAGTTTCGTATAATGTAAAAGTGTTTGCGTGCGCGATGTTGATTTTCGCTTGTTCCAACTTTATACATATACACGTGCACTCACACGCTATAACGTGTGGCACATACATGCACTCGAGTATATATGCGTACGAAAGTTTTGCATTTTATTGAATAATAAAGTTTCGTGCGCGTGGTTGGTGCGATGGGCATGACTAGAAAATGTACTGCTTTTCTTGCACGCATCCATCTATCTGTTTGTAACATATAAGCAAGACATGTTTTCTTGAGTAACTCGTTCGAAAAATTGTTTCTTCGTTTGCGTATATATATTTTCTATAAGAAACGCTCGTGCGCGGACACGCACGGGCGCGTGATTCATTCGGTGCGTTGAAAAAGTAAAAAAAAAAATTGCGATTATTCGCAATCGGTTAAAAATTGTAATCGAAAGAGACTCTGTAAAGCTGCAGTTTGTAACATAATTGCATTCGCGGAACAAAACAATTCGATGCTCGCAGCCAATTACGGTTTTTTGTTTGTATTTCGTTATTTTTTTAATCCAGTTGTGTACTATTACAATCAAGAGCTTCGTCGAACCTTTACGGGAATTAGTATTATTAACAAAATTGAGTTACATCACGGATTGCGTATCGTGGCATTTTTACATAACTGACGACGGAGTAATTATTTTACAGCGAGTATGTGAAAAAAAAAAAAAAAAAAAAAAAANTCAAAAAAAAAAAAAAAAAAAAAACATCGATGCTACATTACACACATGTGAATATGAGAATGCATACAAGCTTGCTCTCAAAAGCATTTAAAATTGCAAATTTTTCCGTTGAAAACGAAAGGTAATATCGTACTTAAACTTTTTTCATAAGCAAGTCATTTCAGTGAATCGAATTCGAAATTTTTTCCGGTAATAAATGCAATTAGCCGAAATACTTTAGTCATTCTCGTATAAGAGGATAAGACGTAAGAAAGGACTAATAACAAGAAGAATCTCGAGGTAATAGCTACGCATGAATGTTTATTGTACTTGTTCGATCTCTCCATTACAAATCAGGGCGCAATAAATGTCGCTACTTATTGGACGCAAACGACGCGAGGGCAGCGATCCCTGGTCCAGTATACTGCGTACTACATGCACCCGCACATTTACACTCGCACACGCGCACTCCACGTTCCCGTGAGTGAAAGAGAGAGAGAGAGAGAGAGAGAGAGAGAGAGAGAGAGAGAGAGAGAGAGAGAGAGAGAAGGAAGAAAGCCAGACAGGCAGGGGGATTATTGCAGTATCATAAAATTTAATTTAATATTATTGCAGTTGGGAAATCTCTCTCCGAATGTACATGTGTGTATACGTGTATGTACATGAGAGAGAATGAATCGATATTGAAGCCTGCGGCCAGACTCTGCCTCTCTCTCTCTCTCTCTTTCTATCCTTCTCACTCATCCTCTCTCGTTTGCTATCGGCTGCAGCAGAGCTATCTCTGCGAAATCTCGGGCAATTCTGCCATACATGATTCTCTCTCGCTCTGTCCCATTATAAACGATGTCCAGCTGATTGGCTTTCGACGCGTGCACTTCTCCTTTCTCCTATCATATATCGGGCGGGATGCCTCGACTGTATATCGGCCGCGCGCCAACTATCGCGGCGCGCGCGCGTATCGTTAACGGCATACAGATGTTCAATTTGACGCGCAGTTGTATAACTACCGTCGCTTCGGCTCTCCCGCCTGTAATCGTTGAAAAATGTTTCAATCGCACGCGTACTTGGGAATTAAAATATTGCCTACTCCAGCGCGGACCCTCAGCGCTGCTGCTGCTTTTTTTTCATTCTTTTCCCATTACCTTTGGATTTCGCGCCACTAAACTTGACACTGCGCTGCATATATACCCCGTGTATATGAATTTACACTGTGTGCTATTGTGACGTTGACCGTACCTACAGCTTATACCCTCGACAATTTTTTTTCTTTTTAATCCACAGTTTTTAATTTGACTAGCTGTACCGGTAACAACGTACAATTGACGAATATGCAAGTCCGAAACTTTTGAAAAATAGACAAGCAATATATATCCCAACGTCAAAATATATTTATTTTTGAGATTTTTTAGCGACACAAATGTTCAAACAATGAACATATAATTTTAGTGAATATTAACAGAGCACTAACTCAGTTTTCAATCTTTTTGGCGCTTAAAAAAAAAAGTTTTGGCCTCCCACCGTTGACATTTTTTGCTGGGAATTTTTTATTTACACGAAAAGAAAAATTAAAAAGCGCTTAAAATCTTCAAGCATCGTTATAAGTTATCGTATAAGCTCGCGCGCGAGCCTCTCACGGACGTATTAAAATGAATAATGTTGAAAAACTTACTGTACAAGGATATCGTGATTGTGGTCGTTTGAGGTGCTGCCAAGGGTGTATTACTCGCCCTGCAAGATACTTTGGCGTGATGATGGCTACGTTTCAAATTTTTAATGGTCACCCTGCTGATAATCAACGTCGTGGATAATTTGAATTTGGTCGAGTCCCTTGTTGACGATGACAATGTGGAAGGCTGCGATGACGCCGACGACGACGACGACGATGACGACGACGATGACGACGAGGACAATGACGACGATGATGACGATGACGACGAGGATAACGACGAAGTTGACATCGATGAATGATAAGGTACGGAATTTTGGCTCTGCACCTGACGTATTTCCGAAGTTGAGTTGATTAATTGCGACTCGAGGAACCAAGAGACTTTTGGTATCGGTTTACCTGCAAAAAATATCAAAAATAATCTTCTTATATGTAGCTACAGACAAACTTACGACTTTTCTTTTACTACTTTGGAAAAAACAATAGACACAATCAAGTTCGATAATGCTCATTTTTAATGTACAAACGTACATCAATTTCTCCGACTATAGTTTTCTCGCTAGAAACGTAGAAAAAAAGGGAGAAAAATCTCGATTAGACGAGCAAACACAGCAGTTGCTGCTCCAGTCATCAATCTTTATACTCAGAACAATGCCGCGTGTAAGCGAGAGAGAGAGAGAGAGAGAGAACGAAGGAAAGCAAAAAAAGTATCCTTAAAACACAGTTTATTCTTTCTCTATCTCTACAGGGTAAAATTCATTTCTAAAGAGCTGCTCTGCAATGTAACATTTTTCTCTCTCTCTCTCTCTCTCTCTCTGCGCTTTTCAATTATACGAACCGAAGAAATGCTGCGAGCGTGCACGAGTCGGTTTAAAAGTATATATACGCAGACCTGCATTCTTCTTCTTATAAAGTAAAACGTGCGCAACGCGTGCAGGTATGTCCGATTTAAAAGTATAATTTTCAGAGCAAATGAGCGATTCAAATGTATCGGCTTGAATGGGAACGCACTTTTCATTCTGCAGCTGATCAGAGTATAATGAAATTGTCTGAGTTAATACCCGTCGGCTGTACTTGTCTGATGAAAGTAGAAAAAATTATTTTATAAAAATTAACGAGCCAAGGTTGTTCTTTCAATGCTTTAAACCAGTTGGATAGTGCGGTTTAATCGAGGGAAAATTTTTCTCTTCAAAACTAAAACTTGAAACAATAATTGAAAAACATACTTTTCTCGTACACGCAACGATCGAGATGCCAAACTTGATTTCGTCTCTAAAAGTAGGTAAGGAAATGCGAATCGAGCGCGAAGTAATCGTTCTTAGAGGAGGGAAAGACGCAGCGACAGTTTGACGAGCATTTACCCACTGCTTCAACGCGTCATATCCTACTGTCTCTCGTGCCTATGCCTTCCTTCGTCCCTGCTGCGCTGTGTGGAGCTCAAAGGCAACTGCGCAATAGAGAGAGCGAGAGAGAGAGAGAGATGGGATACGATATCGCTGTTACTGATTGCGCTCGCGAGCCCTCTTGGCTTTCTCCACATAGCAATCTACAAATGAATACAATGCAACTGGTGCGATGCTTCGCGAGAGACAAACAACTGAGCCAGCTGCAGCAGCGGCGGCAACGACTAGTACACGAGTCTCTCCTTCTCTCTCTCTCCTCTCCTCTCTCTATAACGATGATGATGATGTTAGTAGCTCTTTGCATGTCAACTGTCGTCAGCAGAGAAATGCAGAAAGCCTGGGCTTTCTAAATTAATTCGCTCCTACTCGACGTCCAGCGGGGCGCGCAACTGTGTGTACGTGTATACGCGTCGCGAGTGCGACGTGCTGCAAGTGCTGCTGCTGCATGGGGTGGCGCACGAAGCGAAGGATGTCGCAGCGGCAGCAGCTACTGCTGAGCTAGATATACCAAGCTACATTATTATATGTGTCCGTGTTAAAGGTAGACTCGCAGGCTCGGCTAGAAGAGAACGCCCGCGTCGTCTTCCTATCTTATACGAGCAGCGGGATTATTCGAGTATATTGTGTGTGCGTGCGTGTGTGTGTGTGTGTGTTGGGGGCTGTGCTGCGCGTTGCAACGTGCATGCTACTATACCTACCAACTACACGAGCCTGTGAGCCAAGGCTATTACTTTCGCTAAATTGATTTTTTATATGCGTGTGCGCAGGCACGCAAGCGCGAATGAAGAAGCACTGTCGCTGCTGCTGCTGCCAGTGCTGCGCTGTACGTACCTATCTATACACGAGCGAATTCGCGCGTTGCGCACAGGCCAGGAGCAGCAGCTATACCGAGAGCCATCTAACGTATTTTACGAGTCCAGTGTCGCTTTCGACCCACGCGACTCCGTGTATAGTTATATATATTTTTCTCTGTCTCTCTTTTTTTTGTTCGCTTCTTCTGCCGACCTAATAATTCCGTGTCTTTGTTTATGAATTCACTCGCGTATTTTATAGAGCGGGCTTAATTATGAACACGATGTAATGCAAAACGTTGAAAAAGAAGAAAATTTTGCCCGGCCAGCATTATGATAAATTTCGCTGGGGGGATAAAAATTTGAAAAATATTCGAGTTTTGCAGATTACCGTCATTAATGCCTCGAGACATTTTGAATAATACGGACACGACGAAAATTTTGCAAATGTGGGTCGGTGAACCGATATAATGACGTAATTTCATATTCAAGGCGTTTATTTTTATCAAATTCATATTATTCATGCGTAATTGAACAATTTCAATGACTCGATGCTAATGCAACGTTATCGGTAGTGTTCGTTCCTTGATAAGTAAGCTCGTGGCAGTGGAGCGCTCCGCTATGCTGTGCTACGTATACGAGAAGAAAAAAAGCTGTCATTTTTTCTTTCATGCGAAAAAAACATATGTGCCCGCAAACTCTCGAGCCGGCCGCAGAGTTGAGATACGGATTAGACACCGAGAATAAGAGTTTTTTTCTGTTCTCGACAGTTTTTTCTTTTCTTTTTTTTTCTTTTTTCGATTATTGTCGAGAATTGCTCGAGTTCTGCATATGCGCATAACCTGTATTATCGTCTGGAGAAACGAGAGCTCTTGAAAATCCACTGTGTATTAGTCAAACTGCTTTTACCCGATGTTTGAGCTTTCTCCTCTCTTTCTCTGCATTTTTTTCCTCCGCCGAGCAGCAGCAGAGAGGTAAAGCAACTCCAAGAAATTCCAGGCAGCGAGTTTTCTTCGAGCTGCTTCCTCACTTTCGTTTTTGGAAAAAAATTAGAGTCTTTTATACTGCGAAAGTAGAAAACTATATAGTTACATCCAGTTAACGGAAGCTTATACAGCGAAAGCCCAGAAGAAGTGCGCTGTATGTTCCGGTTTTATACGCCACCAGTCCGAGATACATAGTATCTCCGAAGAGAGAGAAAAAAGAGCAGAAATTCAATGAGCGGAATGAAATATAAACAGGCCTGGGGAATTAGCATCGCTTTGATAAGCTTCTATCGTTTCCAGTGCTTCTTGGCTCGCCTATATGATATACATTTTGTCGCCGCTATAGGTAGTCGGTCGAGTTTCTTGCGGATATCACAATAGATATTTTCGCGTCTCAGCTTCTCTCTCTCTCTCTCTCTCCCTCTCGATCTCGCTCTCGCAGTTCTGCAAAACACAACAATACCGTCTTCTTCTTCTTCTTTTTGAATGAAAAATGCTATTCCCCCTCGGCTGCAGTCGCCCCCATGCTACCGCTTATACGTCTCTGGCAGTTGCCCAATTCCATTTTCAAAGGTCTCCAGGCCAAACTTTTTCGCACTCGTTCTCGCGAGTTGTTCGTGCGTAGGTGTGTCCTGTGTGTGTGTGTGTGTGTGTGTGTGTGTGTGTGTGTGTGTGTGTGTCTGCCACCACGTTCATATACGTACATATAAACCGAAATACATGTACGCGTAAAAGTGCAACACGATAATCTAATGTGTGTATGATAGAAGGCGCGCGCGGGCGAGAGCAGCAATCTGGACAGGCGCCAATGTTCGCACACAACGTGTACATCGCCCCCCATCATGTGTCGTGAAAAGGTGTTTTACCTTCGATCGGGGGGCAAGAGCAGCCTATATATATTCTTTTTTTATTGTCATTATCGCTGGGAGTTTCGAGCCACCACCAAGCACGAGTCATTCCATCGGCTGCTGTATAAGTACATAGAGAGAGAGAGAGAGAGCGAACTGGCGCACAAAGAAGCTGCCGGGGACCGAAAAATCCGCTGCGTAAGCGTGATATTTCAATGCTCCGCACGATCCGCGCTCCGCGCGACTGCTGCGACACAGCGCACAAAGTCTTTATTTTTGCGAAGAATAAAAAAAAAAAGTGTCGCGCAGACCTTTGCTCACCGCGGCGTCCTCCTCGTCTCTCGGGCTGCGGCGGAAAAGTTTATTTTTCACCAAACGTCGCGATCGTTAAAAATAATGATAATGCATTTCAGCGCATGAATGGCTGCTCGAGGATATATCTATATAAAATACCATAACGGAGCTATGGGGGGATAAGTGGGAAATAAAACTTACCGCCGCGAACCTCGCAGATGAGCTCGAGATCGCTGCCTTCCGGATAAGCCTCCGCGTGCTTGCTCATGTCCCGCTCCTTGGTGTCGTAGATTATCGGCTTTGACGCTGGAACTGGAACAAAGAAAGAAACGCGCATCAGTATAAGCTTTCGCGTACCATCGGCACACTGTATATACAGGAGACATAGCAGCGCACATACACGCGCGAACTGCAATCAATATAATCTATATGAGAAGCGGAAACTAAGAGATATAGAGAGCCGAAAAAAGGAAGGAAGGATTTTTCTCCCACCGCGTGAAACAATGAAAAACGAGAAAAAAATCTGCGCAAGGGCCTGGCTGCAGCTTTACGGATCGGGTCAAAGTGCCCACGTTGTACGCCGGACGTCCTCGTTCGACTAGTTGCGACCATCTCTCTTCCATCCCCTCGGCCCCGACTTTGTATACTATGTAAGTACGGCACTACGGCTCCGTCAAGTGGAAATATAAGGAATTTGAATTTTTCGACTACTTTTCTCACGCATTCCCGGGAGATTTTTAACGTTAGAAAAATACCGTCCTTTTCATGAATATCTGATTGCATATGATTGCTATATTAGGTCGCAACTTTTTTTACCCCCTCGGTTGCACTCTATATAGGCAACTCTGGGCCGCACACCGCAAGCCCGCGTGCATAAATACGATATTTAGCAAGACCATTGCGCGCCCAAAGAGGCGAGTGAACGCCGGGGCGCGGTATTCATTTCGTAATGTAATACTGCCTCGCGCATTCCTCACTTTCTCCCACTCGGACGCGCGCTGCGCTATCCGCTTTTTACTTTAAAAAGATAAAAGGGAATGGTAAATATATATTTGCGTTCTTTTTTTCTCACTTTCAAAGCGAGCTGCGGACATTTTTTTTTAAGCTGAAAATAATTGTATCTTCGTTACGACGCGGGGATTTTCATCAGAGCTAAAGATATGCATTTTTTCTCTTTCTCTTGGTCCGGCGTGTCGAGAGGATTATATCCTTTACACCGCACTTTCAGACTCAGATTATTAAAACGAAAATGTAGCATCAGCAGTGGCGAGTCGGTTAGTTACAACGTTCTCCATCTGTCTCCTTTTCTTTCTCCCTTTCTTTCGTTCTTCATTTTTCTTTCAGCGCAAAAAAAGAAGAAGAGTATATAAAACAGAACAGCTATCTTTCATTCAATTAGTCTTGCCAGCATATTTATTTCATGAATGTGTATTTTCCCTTTTTTCAACAATTTTCGCTCGGAGCTCATCTGATAATGTCTGCAATGTTACTGCGGTTTTCAACTAAAGCGAAAAATTGCTAGCGAGGGTTAATTTTATTCTCGATTTGTAGTCGGTGTGCCCTGGCGATAAATTTCATAAATAATTGGAAGCGAAAAGCTTGAGGGGGTCTTTTTTTTCGATTGTTGATTGCAATTTTCGATATTATAAACCATGTACAAAATGAGAAAAAATTGAATGAGTATTATTTTGCAGCCGAGAAAAATTGCACAAAAGCCAGTTCTATAGCGTCAGAGGAAAAACTTGGCACTTTATTTTTCTCGCACAAACCAGTAAATTCGTGGCCTTTTTCCGTCGCTCTTCTTTTTTTTTTCATTCTTTTCCTCGTGGTTTGCTTTTTTTATACGGCACCGGATTTTTAGCTCTCCATTTCTCAGCCGTTAAAAAGTCGTGCTCATGACGCGACGACCCAGAGAAAAAGTATGTGTGTATGTGCACGCGCGCGAAAGAGAGCAGCAGCAGCGGCGGCAGCGAATGCGGAAAAAATTTGCCGAAGATGTACCGCGTGGACCGTATACGTATTATATATAGTTGTGTCAACGCAAGGAATTATACACGGGCGGTAATGAGACCTTTTACTCGTGGCTCCATAATGAAAATAACGAGACAAACAATTTTCAGACGCGACTGCGATGACATGCATTCGCCTTTTTCCTTTATTTTCTTCTTTTTTTTTACTAAACATCGTGTATCACAAAATGGCTCCTCTTTGTACAGAGTGGAGAGCAATATAATACTTTGCTCTCTTTAATCTGCCATTTTTAACGTCAACACTCGAGTACGAATAAGAAGCGATTGAAAGCAAAGATGCATAAATAACATTACCCATTTCTGCACCATTTTTATATTATTTCTTTTAACGTGATTGATCTTCGCGTTTCCTATTAAAATTTCGAACGATCTGTTTCAAATTTTGTGCAAAACTTTTCTACGGTATTTAAAATTAAAAACTTTTGCGAGTTCTGTCGAAGCTGCCAACGCATAATTTGACATAAAATCATTGAACTTTTTGTGCAAACCGGACTAAGAGATTACGAATGAACAAAGAATAAAAATTTATTCCCCATCGCGATGAATCGGGTAGAATTTTTTCATTGTAAAAATAAAACAAAAGATTTTTCATTTTTAATTATTCGTGTAAAAGAGATCAAAAACAAATGGGAAAATTTCAACGACCACAATCGCACCGCAGTATTGGTGTTCGCACAACGACGCAAAGATGTCATGCAGATATAGTTGGGCGGAATTTCGTAAATATATATATATATAAGCAAAAAACCGAGCCAGAACGAACGCAATCGGGTACTTGAGTCCGTTTTACATATCGTACGTAGCGGTAGTAGTAGTGGCTTGCGCGACGCCGGGGCGGTAAAAATACAAAAGCTTTTGAAACTGGGCGTAGAGAGAAAACAGGGGGAGCGAGCGAGAAAAAAAAGAGGCGAACGAACAATAAATAGCAGTAGTACGAGTGTCGCAAAAAAGCCACCATCGTCTTAACAACCAACGACTTCTCTCTATAGATGTACGAGTGTACGTGTATATTGCGTGGCGGAAAAGGTCAACAGCATATAGCAGCTAGCCAGTGGCAGCAGCAGCAGCAGCAGCAGCAGCAGCAGCAGCAGCAAAGCGTCTGAGTGCAGCTTGCAGGCGGCGGCAGTGAGAGATGAATATTTCTCAGGCGCACACCAATAAAGAACGTGGAAAAAGGTTCCGAGAAGAAATAAGTCAGCCTGGCAGTTTGTGCTGTGTGTGGTACGAGCGAATCTATATATGGCTGTACGTAGGTATATGTATACACGCGCGCACACACACATTCACGTAGCGAATAAAATCAAAGAGAAAAATTGCGAAAAAAAGACGGCAGAGGAAGAGAAGCGAGAGCTTTTGCCGAGGCGAGCTGCGAGCCTCGCGGTGCTGGTGGCGGCGGCGGCTCGAGCCCGAGAGTGCGAGTGTCCCACGATATAAATATGTAGTAGCCAAGCGGCTGCAAGGATACTCGCACACGCGGCGTATATATATCAGCGTCACGTAGCATATAGCAGCCCCCGCAGCAGTGGCAGCATCAGCAGCAGCAGCAGTAGCAGCAGCAGTGGTGCAGCGCGGCGATGAGCTCTCGAGACGAAAAAGAAGAAGCTCCGAGCAAAAGGAGCAGTACATACATATATATATACAGGAATCGGAGAGGAGGAAAGCGAGAGAGAGAGAGAGAGAAAAAATCGCACGCAGCAACAGCGTGACACCTCCAGAGCTGCTCGGCCAAGGCGTGCGGCATATTGCCTCATCTGCGTTTAATATTGTACCGAATACCAGTACTACGTCATCTCTGTATAATGTTAAAGCGTGAGTGCGCGCGCACTTATATACGTCGCTACGTGCGTGACACACGAGAACCGTGTGCACGTGTTTTTGCGGCAGATATGTATCCGACGCGTTGGTACTTTAACGCGCGCGCGCGCCAAACAAGAGAAAACCTCGAGGCAGCAGCACCTACAATCGGACACGTTGATACTCGGCTATGCAACGGCCAAACGCCTTGTCTCGTCTTCTAGCTTTCTCCTTTGGCTCCATATTATACGTGACTTTTATCACTGCCGCGCGCGCGTATATATACGTACGAAGCTATTCCGCCAGCCACGAGCTGCTACTGCTGCTGCGCCGGGGCTATCAGCCTCCAGACACCTCGGCTATGCTCTCCCCCCATCCCCATCCCCTGGGCTGCTTCGACGTTTTTGACTCTGCTGCTGCTGCTGCGGCTCGGCTCTCTTTTTTCTCCTTCGCTACTACTACGACTCCAAGTTTCTGCCTTTAGCTGTTTTTACACTCGCCCCTCGCCACGCTCAGCTGTATTATGTGCAAAAAGCAGCGGCGGCAGCAGAAGCGGCAGTATAAGCAGTGCAGGCACGCGGTATCTTCAGATATTATTGTCGAGCGCTAGACGTTTTTCGCCTTTCTTAGGAATTTCAATATTCCTCGCGCTATGAGCTGTGTACCGCGCGCGGTAATAGTCAAATGGACATAAAAGTGCAGCTGTCTAAAATTGCATCGTGGGGCGTGGCGCGGAAAATCGCTACCGACGCGTCCGACGTATACGTATACGCGCGAGCTCGAGAGGCAAACGAGGAGGCAACATCGCACTCGATATAATATGTCCCATGCACAAAATGTTGTACCTTCTTCGCTTCGTTTCTTCCATTCAATTTCTTTTCCTTAGCCGACCGCTTCAAATGAATTTCCTCGCGATGCTTGAATGTCACCGATGTACCGTGTATTTTGGCTCATACGCATCGTTACTCTTTGACTGTTGCGAAGCAGCGTTTTAGAGAAAATAATGTTCGCTGCTATAATTGGAGTGCTTACATTTTATTTGGGACGTGTTTTAAATTACTTTATCGACCTCCTGATGAACAATTTTGTGTTGTGCCATGTGAAATTAAATAGAGGCAATCTTTAGACACGAAAGTTTTGCGGTGCTCATCAAGGTCCTGCGGATCGACTAATTTTTTTTCGTAATGTTTGTTTCTCACTTTAACCCGTTAGAGTTGAATTTTTTATCAAACAAATACCAGAGCTGACGAAGGAATTGAAATAGTTTTCAAATTTTTCGTGTAAATAATTTATTTGAAATATTTTTGTAAAAAGTTCTTCAAACATTTTTGGGTTTACATACCTACGAATTCAATTTTGGTAGTTAATGAACGTAGTTTTTTTAAGATTGCTTACAGCCCGTCTGACTATTTTCGTGTTTGACTACTTGCTGTTGGACTTTTACTCCTGCGCCGTAGTTTTTAACTTGTATCAATTCAAATAGGGTTT